AGTAGCTGGAACTACAGGCATGCGCTACCACACCCGGCTGATTTTTGATTTATTGTGGAGATGAGGTCTCACCAAGTTGCCCAGGCAGGTCTCAAACCCTCGGGCTCAGACAATCCACTCACCTCTGCCTCCCAAAGCGCTGGGATTACAGGCTGAGCCACCGAGCCCGGCCCACATGTCAACTTCTTTGCATGCTACAGAAGATGGGTGTAAGCTATGTGATGGAAGGGCCTTACCACCACAGAGTCACACACTAGATATTTCACAACATTTGAAATGTACTTTCCAACTGCTAATCATGGCCTGCTTGCAATTCACCCAGAGCAGCAGTGGTAGGATTAGCCCGTATGTTTCTGTCTTTGAATTTGGGTTCCAAAATATTTGCAGTGGCATGACATGGTGGATGGTGACAATCTTTCCTTATACAGTCTTTCATGTGACTTCTTTTGTACTGTCAGCAAAGATACATGTAGATAAACTAGGAACAGTTGATTTTATCCAGACTCTAGAAAACTAGTGATAAACGCACTGATTACTGAAGAATGCTTTTTAAAATGTGTGTGTGCATGAGAAGGGCATTCCTCTTGCATATTTAAAAAACATACTCATTATTATTATTATTATTATTCTTTACTTTTTGTAGAGATGAGTATTATTCTTTACTTTTTGTAGAGATGAGGTTCTTGCTATATTGCCCAGGCTGTCTTGAACTCCTGGGTTCAAGCAATCCTCCTGCTTTGGCATCCCAAAGTGCTGGGATTACAGGCGTGAGCCACTGCATCCGGCCACAGTATACTCATTTTGAGGGAATAAAGGTCAAGAAAGAGTAAATGAAGCCAGGTGTGGTGGCTCACGCCTGTAATCCCAGGCGAGAGGGTTGCCTGAGCTCAGGGGTTCGAGACCAGCCTGAGCAACATGATAAGAACTTGTCTCTACAATAAATAAAAAAATTAGTTGAGCATGGTAGCACGCGCCTGTGGTTCCAGCTACTTGGAAGGCTGAGGCAGAAGGATCGCCTGAGCCCAGCAGGTTGACGCTGCGGTGACCGTGAGCATGCTACTGCACTCTAGCCTAAGCAATAGAGTAAGACTCTGACTAAAAAGAATAAAAGAGTAAATGAACACCTTACTTTAAACATTTTTATTTTCCTAAACGTTTATCATCCAGATGATTTGATTTTAGAGAAAAAAGTCCTCAGGGAAAATTGCAACCATTTAAACACTTTTAACCTCCTCAATCCCTGGCCACCTGAGGGATTTCTAGTTTCCTTGGTGTCTGTCTCTGGCTTCCCCTTTTCAGTTCTCACACTGCCACTTGCATACCTTACCTGGTTTCCACAGAGACTCAGGGTAAAGTGATGAAAATATTTCAGGCCTTTGGAAGTGAAGCTTGGCCCTCCGGCATGAGTGACAGTGCTCGCCAACGCGGAGAAATTGTAGTTGAAAGTCCTGGCCGGAGTGTTGCGTGAGAAGGTGCAGTCATTGTAGCACAGAGAGTGGATCTAAGGGGGAGAGGGACTGGGTCAGGCAAGTGAGTCAGGGAGTCCCTGAGGGGCCGCAGTGGAAAGTGGCAGCTATCTCCCCAGTCTGGTCCAGCCCAAGTGGCGCTAGAGAAAAAGAAGGAAGGATTAGGGGTGGGCATTAGAAGAAGTGAACAAACTGGGTGTGGTGGTTCACGCCTGTAATCTCAGCACTTTGGAAGGTGGAGATGAGAGGACTGGCTGAGCCCAAGGGGTTAAGACCAGCCTGAGCAACATGGTGAGACTCTACAGTAAATACAAAAAAAAAGTGGTTGGGTGTGGTGGCACATGCCTGTGGTTCCAGCTAGGTTGAGGCAGAAGGATCGCCTGAGCCCAGTGGGTTGAGGCTGGGTGACAGAGACTCCGACTGGAAAAAAAGAAGTGAAACGAGTCTGGGCACGGTGGCTCACGCCTATAACCCCAGCACTTTGGGAGGCCAAGGCAGGAGGATCACTTGAGCCCAGGAGTTGGAGACTAGCCTGGGCAACAGAGCGAGACCTCATCTCTACAGCAAAATAAAAAATTAGCCAGGCATGTTGGCACTGCCCATAGTCCCAATTACTCGAGAGGCCGGGGCAGAAGGACTGCCTGAGCCCAGAAGGTAAAGGCTGCCATGAACCGTGATTGTTGTGATCATACCAGGGCATTCCAGCCTGGGCAACAGAGTGAGACCCTGATTTAAAAAAAAAAAAAAAAAAAGCAAAACATGCACGAGTGGGATTTATGTCCACCTTGCCATTCAACTATTGCACATATATGACGTACAAACCTACACCTGTTATTTTTCGGTGCATAGTTCCGTCAAATTCTGTAACCTTGTTCCTGTGCCTAGATTCCTCGAGGCTTGTCCCCCCTGCTTCCTCCTCGCCATCTAAGACTCACAGAATCCTGCTTCCCCTTTTTCAGGTTCGCTGCAGGAAGCTGAATTCCAAAGGGGCTTAATTTCCCATAAACCCCCTCCTTGCTCTCTTCCAGGGACCCCAATCAGCGGCCGCCTGGCACAGCTGTCATTCCCTCCCATCACAGCAGGGGGTGCTCCAGGGGAAGCAGGTTGTGACACAGCCCAGGGTCCCCAAAGAAGCTGCCCAAAGAATCTTTCCACTCATTGCACAGAGGAACGGAGCCACGTTTACAGAGTACGTGCAAATAATGCCTTCCAGATGTGTGTGCGTGTGGCTGTGATCCGTATAATACAAATTCATTTAAAAGCATCAATCACTAAGAGCTTTTGGTCATAGTACTTTCTCAGAAGCAGTAAGGACACGGGGACAACAGCACTGCTTTCCACTCATTTGCTTATTTACTTATTTATTTTTGAGTCGAGGTCTCACACTGTCACCCAGGCTGGATACAGTGGCACGATCACTTCTCATCACAGCTGCCACCTCCTGGGCTCAGGCGATCCTCCTGCCTCAGCCTCTAGAGCAGCTAGGACCAACGACGGTACCACCACACCTGGCTAATTCTTCTATTTTTTATAGAGGTGAGGGCCCACTCTCTTGCCTAGAATGGTCTCAAACTTCTGGGCTTGAGGGATTTCCCCACCTCAGCCTTCCAAAGTGCTGGGATGATGGGCTTGAGCCTTCGCACTCAGCCTGCTTTTCCACTTTAGAAAAGAATCTTTATGCCTGGATAGCTGAGAAGTCACTTGGATAGAAGCCAGCAATGCCGACAGACAATATGTCCCACAAAGCTTGAGTTACCTTTGCAAAGAGGGAGCGAATTTCCATGACAACAATTTGGATGGCACGAGGCTGAGTTTGAGCCATAAGCCCCTCTACTCCTTCTCTCCAGGAAGAAATTGGCACAGATGCCAAACAACGCTCTGGACCAGATAGTCACCCGTCTCCCTCACTCCTCAACTAAGATGAGACTCGTTCATGACAGAGTCCTGGATGTGGAAATCAGGCCCTGCTGCTGAGAACCCAGGACACCAATGGAGCGTTTGGTTATCAGCCCCTCAAGGACCCAGCCCAGGCAGGACCCAGCACCCGCGAGGTCACCCAACCAGAGGGCCAAGTTCGCGCTGCGCAGCAGACTGTAGGCACCTTGTTGCTCTTGGTCCCTGGGCCGCAGGGCACACAGGCCTGGCTGCCATAAGGCTGGTGGGCTTTCAGGACCGTGTTAGGGAGGCAGGGGCGGCAGGTTCCCGAATCTCGGTCAATGTAGTAACCGGCAGAACAAGAAGTGCAGGAGGAGCCCGTGTCGGAGGCCTCCAGGGCACATGGACGGCAGAATGAGGCCACGCCGTCCATGACATTGGTGATGTTGATAGAATAGATCTTGGCCACGTCACTGGTGTACTTTCTGCCCTGGAGGCAAGGAGACAAGAAGGGAGAGGGTGGAGGCCTGAGACACGGCAGTGATCGAGATCTCTGGACAGAGGGAAGTTCTTCATCTTTTATCCTGTGATACTCGAGAAGAACTTTGGAGGCATCCTATTATTTTATTTAAATTTGCATTTTAAAAAATTTTATTTATTTATGTTTGAGACGGAGTCTCCCTCTGTCCCCCAGGCTGGAGTATAGTGGCACTCTCACAGCCACCACAGTCTCGATCTGCTGGGCTCAGGTCATCCTTCTGCCTCAGTCTCCCAAAGTGCTGGGATTACGGGTGTGAGCCAGAGCCACCGTGCCCGGCTAAATTTTTTATATTTACTTATTCATTAGAGACAAGGTCTCGTTTTGTTTCCCAGGCTGGCCTCGAACTCCTGGGCTCAAGTGATCCTCCTGCCTCAGCCTCCCAAAGTGCTGGGATGACAGACATGAGCCACTACACTCAGCCTGTCGTATTCTTTTTCTTCACTTAACGGTAGCTCTTTATGTGCATTTAGTGTCATTCTAAAATAAAACTGAGCCATTTTGTCATGTATTAAATATTAAGTACCATGGAGGAAATATGTAGTGGATACTGTGACATGAAAAAAGCAGGCTGAGATGTTACTGGGTTGTCTCTGGGCAGTGGAGTCAAGGTTGATTTTATTTCTTTTTTCTTTCTTTTTTTTTTTTTTCTTATTTCTATTTTCTAAGTTTTCTGCCGTGAACCTGTATTTCTTTGAGTTAAGAAAATAAAATCAGAGTTATTATTGTGAAAAACAACAGATCTGACACCTCATATGTCCTCAAGGCAGGGATGGCATGGAGGAATATGTTTTGGTTTTTTTTTTGTCTGAGTCGGAGTCTCACTCCGTCACCCAGCCTGGAGTGCAGTGGCACGCTCATGGCCACCGCAGCCTCGACCTGCTGGGGTTCAAGCGGTCCTTCTACCTCAGCCTTCCAAGTAGCTGGAACTACGGGTGTGCCCCACCACGCCTGGCTAATTTTTTGATTTATTGTAGAGACGAGGTCTCGCCAAGTTGCCCAGGCTGGTCTTGAACCCGTGGGCTCAGGCAATCCTCTCAACTCAACCTCCCAAAGTGCTGAGATTACAGGCGTGAGCCACTGCTTCCAATTCATGTTATTTCAGGAGCTTCCGGTGTCACTATCCCAGGAAGTCACTGAGCCAAGGCTGGGTTAGGCAGTTCTGTTTGACTCCTTGGGATTCTGAACTTCAGACACACACTTAGGTTAATTCCAGGAGTCCTCCCGGGCTCAAGGGGTCTCTTCTGGGAGTCTGGGGTCTAAGGAAGGGGAGGGACTTACTGTCTCAAGGAAGGTGGTCCTCTGGAAGGCCCAGGTGAAGCTCATGGTGGCGTTATTCTCAATAGAGCGGGTATAGGACTGTTTGCCTTTGGAACCTTTCCATGTCTCCACGGGGGTGTTGGTCCTAGAATTCACGCCCTGAACCCAGGACAGACGAGTGAAGAGGGTGTGATGGCCGGAGGGGGTGTGGGTGTCTATACAGCTGCCAACCCCCTGTGCCCCATCACAGTTGGTCAGACCCACATTAAACGTGAAGTCCCTGGCAGTCGCCTGGGCCCTTCCCCTGGGGAATCACTACAAGTGGGCTGTCAGTCACAATGACACACTAACGGCAGTCCTCCCCGGGGAGCCCCACGGCAGGCAGAGACAGGAAAGCGTACCACCATGAAGTAGAGCTCACAGTTCACGGAACAGATGGTCTCAAAGACAAATGTGATTCTGGCCACCTCCTTATTCTCTGTGTCTGCCGTCATCGACTGCGGAGGTCTGTGGGGACAGAAATTAGAAGTCAATGCCCGAGGCCAGGTGATACTTGAAGAGCCCAGACAGCTGCAGAGGGTCTGCTGAGAGACAGGATTAGGTTCCGAACACACTAGAAAGAGTATGGACTAAGTCCATCTATGCCCGCTAGCTATGTGTCCTTGACCTAGCCAAAGCAAAGCTTCCTCATCTATAAAATAGAGTTGATCATATATCTTTCTTACCTGCCTCCCATCACTGTGGTGAAGTCCAAAGCCATGACAGATGTCAAAGTGCTTTTTTTCTTGAGTCAGAGTCTCTATCCCCTAGGCTGGAGTGCAGTGGCACACTCATGGTTCACTGCAGCCTCGACCTCCTAGGCTCAAGCAATCCTCCTGCTTTCCTCCTAAGTAGCTGGGATTATAGGTGCGCACCACCATGCCTAGCTAATTTTAATTTTTTTTGTAGAGATAAGGTCTCACTATGTTGCCCAGGCTGGTCTCAAACTCCTGGGCTCAAGCAATCCCCCCACCTCAGCCTCCCAAAATACTGGGATCACAGGCGCGAGCTACCATGCTCAGGAGTGCTTTATAAAAATGCTGTATAGCCTCAGCCAGGCATGGTGGCACATTCCTGTAATCCCAGCTACTTGGGAGGCTGATGCTGCAGGATTGTTTGAGCCCAGGAGTTCAAGACCAGCCTGGGCAACATAGTGAGATCCCATGCCAAAAAAAAAAAAAAAAAGCTATATGGCCTCACTAGCAGAGCGTGGTCTGCAGACCTGCAGCATGGCCAACTCCGAGAGTTTCTTAGAACTCCAGATACTCAGGCTTGACCCCAGACTCAGCCAATCAGAGTCTGCACAACAGTGAAGCACTATCATCATGCAAACCATCTACCTTTACTCAGCTCACTCATCAGCATAGCGGGAACTTTGCTTGTGTTCAATGAACAGAGTTCTCAGGTTGATCGTCCTTTGGGAAAGAGGGAGCTGTGGCCCTGTGACCTGGAGTTGAGGGCAGGGTAAGGGAGTTCTTTACCATGGTCATCAGATTTGCAAATTGAAAGGTAGTTTTGTTGCTCAGAAAAAACCTAGAAGGTTTGCTCACCTTGCAAACAAGGGTTACAGATGTGTTCTGCCAGCTCTGAGTCATGTGTGTTAAGGGGAGGGAAACGGAGCCCCATTGCGGGGCTGGACAGCAGGGACCTCGAAGTAGGGAATGAAGCTAAATCGGCAGCATTTTCCTCTCATCTCTGGAGTACAGATGGGCAGAAGAGCTCACTTGGGTTTTGGAAATCCACTTATGGGTCTTTGATTTTTTTTTTCTTTTTTGAGTTGGAGTCTCACTCTGCTGCCCAGGTTGGAGTGTAGCGGCACGCTCATGGCCACCGCAATTCCAACTGGCTGGACTCAGGTGATCCTTCTGCCTCAGCCTTCTAAGTAGCTGGAACTACAGGTGTGCACCACCACATCTGGTTAATTTTTTGATTTTTATTGTAGAGACGAGATCTCACCAAGTTGCCCAGGCTGGTCTTGAATCCCTGGACTCAGTTAATCCTCTCGTCTCCACCTCCCAAAGTGCTGGGATTACAAGTGTGAGGCACTGCACCCTGATTTTTTTTTTCCTCTCTATTTTTTGTAGAGACAGGGTCTTGCTATGTTGCCCAAGCTGGTCTCAAACTCCTGAACTCAAGCAATCCTCCTGCCTTCCAAAGTGCTGGGATTACAGGTGTGAGCCACTGCACCAGGCCGTCCCAGGCCATGGTTTTTCTTTGGGCTTTAGCCATTTGTCTGAATTCTGAAAACCTCCAGTTCTCAGCTCCTCTCACCGTAGTTGTGCTGACCCGTAGACTGGAAGAATCATCTCAGCCTCGGCTGGTCCTAAATCACAGACTTGTTTTATAGACCAGGGGCCTGAGCCTGTACATGTTACGTGACCTTCCCAAGTTCACACAGTCAGCAACTGAAAAGTTCAAGTGCCCTGTCTTCTGGTCCAGTGTTCTTTCCACCATTATGACACTGCCAGGAGTTTTTGTTGTTGTTGTTGTTGTTGTTTGTTTTTGTTTTTGTGGCAAATTGCTTGTTGCCCTAGGTCTTCTTGGGATATGGGACAAATGACAATAAGAACAATCCTTAGCTGGGACAGTTGCTCATGCCTGTGAAACCAACACTTTGGGAGGCCAAGGGTGGAGGATTGCTTGAGCCCAGGAGTTCAAAGCCAGCCTTGGCAACATAGAAAGACCTTGTCTCTTAGTTGGGCACCATGGCTGATACCTGTAATCCCAGCACATTGGGAGGTTGAGGCAAGAGGATTGCCTGAGCCCACAGGCTCAAGACCACCCTGAGCAACATGGCAAGACCTTGTCTCTATAGTAAATAAAAAAATTAGCCAGTCTTGGTGGCGCGTGCCTGTTGTTTCAGCTACTTGGAAGGCTGAGGCAGAAGGATCGCCTGAGCCCAGCAGGCGAGGCTGCGGTGGCCGTGAACGTGCCTGTACTCCAGTGTGGGCGACAGAGTGGGATTCCAACTCAAAAAAAAGAGACCTTGTCTCTTTAAAAAAAAAAGCCCTCACAATCTTCTTTCCCCAAAGCCCTCCAGCCTGGGTGACAAAGTGAGACTCCAATTCAAAAAAAAAAAAAGCTGTCTATGGGTACTTCTGGCCTTATTTTTTTAAGTCTTATTGTTTTTTTAAACTTGTCGATGCTGTGTGGAGGATGAATTTAATAGCATGTGGCCAGTCGATGGGAGAAGCTGAATGGTGGGTGAGTGATAGGTAAATCAGTATGGGCTGCAACTATAGACATGTCCTAGCGTTCAGGCTAACTGGGTCAAGCTGTGACGGTGCCCTCTGGTCTGAACTGACATTTGGAAAGAATGAATGCCAGCTGGGCTCGGTGGCTCAGCCTGTAATCCGCACCTTTGGGAAGCTGAGGTGAGTGGATGGCCTGAGCCCGCGGGTTCGAGACGCGCCTGGGCAACGAGACCTCATCTCTACAATAAATCAAAAAATCAGCTGGGCGTGGTAGTGCCTGCCTGTAATTCCGGCTACTCGGAAGGCTGAGGCGGAAGGATCGCTGGAGACCAGCGGGTCGAGGCTGCGGTGGCCGGGAGCGGCGACTGCCCTCCAGTCTGGGCGACAGAGTGAGACTCCAACTCAAAAAAAAGGAATGAATGAATGCCACTTCTGATGCCCCGTCCTCTACAGCATTCCAGAGTGTGTGGGAGTCGGAGGTGGCCACGTCAGACTGGACTTGTCCATGCTAGGTGTTCCTCACCTAAACCCTGGCACGGCCAGCGTGAGGATCATGAAGTCATTGTCGGAGGCTCCGACGGCCGAGTAAATGTGATCGCCAGCCACTTCCCAGCCTGGAAAGGAGAAGGACAATTAGCGCCCTCAAGCTTGTGGGTGCAAAGCAAGGGCACACCTCGAGGACACCCTGGAAGGGAGATTTGACACCATCCTCGGAGCTGTCCGAGGCACCACTGAGCACACACCGTGCCACTGAGCCTGCTACTTTGGCCAAAGACTTGGAAGCTCTCAGAGCATGACCTTTGGGGTGCATGCCTGTTGTTTCTGGCTCTGTCCCTGCATCTGAAACTAGGCGTGGGTAGAATCTATGTCCATGAGGGTTGGGCCTTTCGAGGAAATGCATGACATAATGAGCTTATCTTTCTCAGACATCACTATCACGGAGAAACGTGAAGTTGAAAGGATGATGGGGGTTCAGGGAGCCGATGGCAAGTCAAGAAGCCTTACCTTGTTCTCCTTACCTGTCATGCCCTTGTACTCAAAGTTGACCCCACTGAGGACGGTCGTCTCCATGTTTGTGGGCAGCGTGTTCCACCACTTGTATTCAAACCCCACGGCAGGTTCGGTCCCGGCAGGGCAGTGGGCACAGTCTGGGGAGTACAAGACCCACATGTTCAGCAGGAAGGCCACAGCCACCAGGTGGAGCTGCTGCCACTTGGACAGGTGGAGCAGCAGCGGCAGCCGACGAGGGTGGAGGACTGTGGCACCGAGTTACATGGAGCTGACTCGAAAACATTCTGACGGTGTACTTAACCTATTCAAGATGTCAATAAACACCGAGCCTTCATTCCAATACACTAGCCATACTACCCGCACTCTTCATTTCAAAACTTAAATGTATTGGGCATGGTGGCTCACACTCGTAATCCCAGCACTTTGGGAGGCGGAGGCAAAAGGATTGTCTGAGCCCAGGGGCTCGAGACCAGCCCAGGCAACTTGGTGAGACTTCGTCTGTACAATAAAAATAAAAAAATTAGCCAGGCATGGTGGCACACACCTGTGGTTCCAGCTACTTGAGGCTGAGGTGGGAGAATCACCTGAGCCCGGCAGGTCAAAGCTGTGGTGGCTGTGAGCGTGCCACTGCACTCCAGGCTGGGTGACAGTGTGAGACTCCGACTCAAAAAACAGAAACAAACAAAAACTTAAAAATATCTTCTAGACTAGTGGTCCCCAACCTTTTTGGCACCAGGGACCAGTTTTGTGGTGGATAGTTTTTCTATGGCTTGCTTTGGGATGATCCAAGCACATTACATTCATTGTGCACTTTATTTCTATGATTATTAAATTATAATATATAATGTATTGTTATGAAATTGTCATTGTGAAATGAGTCAGCAAGCAATTGAGTTCTTATGATCTCTGCCAGTCAAACCTCACTGCTAATGTTAATCTGTATTGGCAGCCACTGCCCAGCACAAGCATCACTGCCTCAGCTCCACCTCAGACCACCAGGTATTAGATTCTCATAAGGAGTGAGCAACCTAGATCCCTCGCATGCACAGTGCTCAGTAGGGTTCGTGTTCCTATGTGAATCTAATGCTGCGGTGATGCAAGTGATGGGGAGCAGCTGTAAATACCGATGAAACTTTGCTCGCTAGCCTGCTGCTCACCTCCTGCTGTGTGTTCCAGTTCCTAACATGCCACGGACTTGATATCAGTCCATGGCCCGGGAGTTGGGGACCCCTGCTCCAGACTGATACATGTAGCTCATATTATTGTCCCATTATTATTAAATGCCTTCACATTAACAGATACACAAATGTGCCTCGTGTCAAGCTGGTCATCCCAACCCCTTAATGCTTCTAGTTAGCATTCCTGCCACATTCTAGAAGCTTCTGTTGCAAGGATTAGGCATCTTCAGGCTTAGCCACACTTGGAGTTGGAATGAGGACAGAGATGGTTTTCAAGTCTGGCTCTGACTTGCAGACAGGACCTGCCCTACCCTCTCTCTTCCTGAACTTAGTCCTCAGAGGTGCCATGGTCGGTATGGGGTGGGTGTGACACAGACGGTGGGTGGGGAGGCGGTTACCAGAACCGTTGGAGTAGGAGCCATAAGGGCAGGGCTCGCAGGTGCTGTTGCTGGTTTTGAAGAAGCCTGGGTTGCAGGGTGGGCAGCGGGTCTTCACCCCAGAGGCCGGCAGCTTCACTGCTCCCTCAAGGTCCTCGCTGCAGATTTTCGGCTGGGCCCATTTGTACATGAGCTGTGTCTGCAGAAATGGAGTAAGCATGAGCCGGGCTGGGTGGCTCAGCCTGTAATCCCGCGCTTTGGGAGACCGGGGTGAGTGGATTGCCTGAGCCTGCAGGTTCGAGACCTGCCTGGGCAGCGAGACCTCATCTCTACAATAAATCAAAAAATTAGCTGGGCGTGGTAGCGCACGCCTGTAGTTCGGGCTACTTGGAAGGCTGAGGCGGAAGGATCGCTGGAGCCCAGCAGGCGAGGCTGCGGTGGCCGGGAGCGGCCACTGCACTCCAGTCTGGGCAATAGAGTGAGACTCCAACTCAAAAAAAAAAAGAAAAGAAAAGAAAAGAAAAAAGAAATAGAGTAAGCACAGCTCAGCCTGTGTGGGGTGTAGTACATCCTTAGGACTCCACCTTGAGGATGGGGATTGGAGGTGGAAGGCAAGACTCTGGGCCAGATGAGAGAGCGCTGCCAAGGTGGGAAATGCTGGGTTGGGCACCGATGTATCCCAAGCACCTAGCCCAGTGCTCAAAAACTGTCTGCCAGGTCAAGTGAGGTGGCTCATGCCTATAATCTCAGAGCTTTGGGAGGCTACGGTAGGAAGATCGCTTGAGCCCAGGAGTTCGAGACCAGCTTGGGAAACATTAGGAGGCCCCATCTCTACAAATGAATAAATTAGCCACATGTGGTGGCATGTATTTGTAGCCCCAGTTACTTAGGAGGCTGAGGCTGGAGGATCACTTGAGCCCAAGAGTTTGAAGCTGCAGTGAGCTATGATCACGCCACTGCTCTCCAGTCTGGGCAACAGAGCGAGATCCTGACTCTGAAGAAAAAAAAACAAACCACTATCTGCCCAATGAATGTTGCCTGATCAGAGTCCTAATGAGGGCTTTGTGCCAGAGGGAGGGGGGACCGGCTGTCGCTTCCACTGCAGAGTCTTATTACTCCCAAGTTCCCAGGAAAAGCTATTGCTGAAAAGCCTAGAACACCAAGAGGCAAGTGCGAAGGTGCTTAACATAAGCCCTGAGGAAAAGTGGGGAGGGACAGAGAGAGGAGTCTCAGTTTATCTTCAGAGTGGCGCATTCTTTGCGCTTTCATTCATTCAAGTTGATGTTTACAGAAAGTCAAATGCATCCGTGTGCCAGGCTAGGTGTCTCAGGGGTGAATGAGACATTTGTGTTGAGTGCAGAAGGGGAGCTGACCAGCAGGAGACCCCCAGTGAGTCAGGGGTGCCCCTGGGCAGCTCCACTCTTCCTGGATGGCCCTCAGGACGTCAGAGAAAAAATGGTGCGCTTATGGGAGGCACTGAAGGGAGGGTAAAGACTATCTGTGCCGCAAACCATGCACGTGAACAGAGGACGAGCAAGGCCTCTGTCCCATTGTCTTGACGAGGGCTCCAGGCTGCTTTCTCTACAAAAAAAAAACAACTAAAAAAACTAGCCAAGTATAGTGGCACATGCCTGTAGTCCTAGCTACTCAAGAGGCTGAGGTAGGAGGATAGCTTGAGTGCAGGAGTTTGAGACTAACATAGTGAGACAGTCTATAAAAAAAATAAAAATTAGGCTAGGCTTGGTGGCTCAGCCTGTAATCTCAGCACTTTGGGAGGCCGAGGCAAGTGAAGACCCGCCTGTAGTTCCAGCTACTTGGAAGGCTGAGGCGGAAAGATCGCTGGTGCCCAGCAGGTCGAGGCTGCGGTGGCCGGGAGCGTGCCACTGCACTCCAGTCTGGGCGACAAGAGTGAGACTCCGACTCAAAAAAATATATAAATAAATAAATAAAAATTAGCTGGATGTGGTGGTGTGTGCCTGTAGTCCCAGCTACTTGGGAGGCTGAGGCGGGAAACCTGAGCCTGAAAGTTTGAGGTTGCGGTGAGCTGTGTTCCTGCCACTATGCACTAGACTGGGCAACGGAATGAGACCTTGACTCTAAATAAATAAATACATAAAAATAAAATTCGGCTTAGAGAACACAAACTGAAATCACCAGACTGAACAGAATGGGGAGACGTGAGGCCCTGCTGGCCAACGTACACTCATGGGCACCCCTTAAACCACACGCTTCAGTGCGCCTCCTCTGGACTGGCTTAGGCCATGTACAGGGAGGGAACACTGGGGCCTTCAGCCCCAGCCCACGTCTGATGGCCCCAGCGGCGGTCAGGCCTGGACAGGCACCCAGGCTTGCGGGCAGCAGAGCACGTGACAGACCCAGAAGGCCTTGGTCTGAGCCCGTGAGGACAGAGTGGGGCAGAAGGGAGGACAGACAGTCACATTCAGTCACACGTTAGGAACAGGAGGGACAAGGGGAGCAGGATGGACTGTCCCCACGGAGACCAAGAAAGTGGAAATAATGTTTGCAAGGTCACCCAGAACATCAGAAGATGTTCTCGGCTGCTGGGGGAGGGGTGATGCACCAAATGCTGGCGGAGGTGGTGGCGGTCAGGGGTGACACAAGAAATGCTCACTGTTTTTTGTTTTTTGTTTGGTTTTGTTTTTTGAGTCAGGTCTCACTTTGTCACCCAGGCTGCAGTGCAGTGGCACTCTCACGACCACCACAGCCTCAACCTGCAAGGCTCAGGCAATTCTTCCACCTCAGCTTTCCAAGGAGCTGGAATCACAGGTGCACGCCACCATGTCCAGCTAATTTTTTGATTTATTTTAGAGACGAGGTCTCGCCAAGTTGCCCAGGCTGGTCTCGAACCCATGAGCTCAGGCAATCCTCTCACCTCTGCCTCCCACGGTGCTGGGATTACAGACTTGAGCCACCGTGCCCGGCTAAGAAATGCTCACTGTTAAGGACCAGACTTGGTTCCACGTTTCATCAGCCAGGGAGCGTGCAGCCAGCTGATCAGCCACAGGCGTTCGCGCATCCCAACAGTCCGGCTTTCTGCTGCCCCTAAGGGCAGAGACCACTGCTTCTAGGTCTGCCTCCTGGAGAGGCTGTGGCTCAAGGTCCGACAGTTCATCCAGAGTGTCAAATCCCAGACAGGTCCCCCCACTTGTGCCCTCAAGTCCGGTCCCGCTCACTCACACTGTACCCCGAGCCCACCCAGCACAAGCAGTCTCCTCCACACCTGAGGTGCCCTCCGCCCCAAAATCTGCATGGCTCATGGCTGCCCCCCCATCTCATTCAGGTCTCCACTCAGCTGTCGCCTCTCAGAGAGGCCATCTCTACCTTTTTTTGAGTTGTATCTCACTCTGTCCCTCAAGCTGGAGCGCAGTGGCATGATCATGGCCCACCGCAGCCTCGACCTCTTGGGCTCAAGCAGTCCCCCCATCTCAGCCTCCAAAGTAGCTGGGACTACAGGCTGTGCGCCACCATGCCTGGCTTGCTTCTTTATTTATCGATCTATTTATTTATTTCCTGTAGATACGAGACCTCGCCATGTTGCCCAGGCTGTTCTGGAACTCCTGGGCTCAAGCCATCCTTCCACCTCGGCCTCCCAAAGTGCTGGGATGACAGGTGTGAGCCACCATGCCAGGCTCATTCCTATCCTTTCTAAAACAGCATCCCCACCCTCTGTCATTCTCTATCTCCAATCTTACTTTATTTTATTTTTTTCCTTTCTTATTGCCATTTGATATATTTTACACTCATTTGCTGACTGTTATCTCCCTCCCCCAACAAGAATCAAGAGCCCTATGAGCTAGATGCTGTCTTGGTCTTTTTAATTGACGTATACCTAGTGCTTAACACAGTACCTGGCACAGAGTGGCTGCTCGCTAGATATTTGATGGAAGGTACGGAGGCCTTCTTGGGACCCCAGTACTGCTTGCTGCTCTTCCAGGCTACCCCCATGCCCCACACTTCCCTCTGGCTGCCCTGGTCAGGCCCCTCTTCCTCTTTTCTCCCTCTCCCTCGCAGGACTGGGAGGCCCCCAAAGGCAGGAACCTGTCTCAGTCACCCAAATCCCCAGCCTGTACACCACATCTGTGATGTCAGTCAGCACGCAGAGGGCATGTTGACCTGGTGACCCTGAGACTACGAGGGAGAGCTCTTTTCTGAGGCAGAAAGCCCAAGGGAACGAGGAAGCAGACACTGAACAAGTTGAGTGTCCTCCGGTGAGTTAGGAGGTAGGACTCAAGTCCCCTGCCACCCACAAGAGCAGTGGCGAGGGGACAAGTCTGCATCTGAGCCCCAGGAGGACATATGTGTGTGTGGACAGAGGGCCCAGCCCAGAGGGGCTCAGCAAATGGGAGAAGCCAAGAAAAAGAAAACAGAATGGTATTTTTAAAAAGGGCACATGTGAATAAGCAGTGGAACATGTGAGGAAACAGCTTCTGACCTGGAAATGAAAGAGGCCATCTCATTTTTGCCCCTGACTAGCCCCAGAGTCACCTTTAAGGACTGTGGGTTTTTGTTTCGTTTTGTTTTTGAATCAGGGTCTCACACAGCCACCCAGGGTGGAGTGCAGTGGCACAATCATGGCTCACTGCAGCCTCAAACTCCTGGGCTCAAGCAATCCTCCTGCCTCAGCCTCCCGAATAGCTGGGACTACAGGTACACACCACCATGCTCAGCTTATTTTTCGATTTTTGCAGAGACAAGGTCTCACTATGGTGCCCAGGTTAGTCTTGAATTCCTAGGCTCAGCAATCCTCCCTCCTTGGCCTCCCAAAGTGCTGGAATTACAGGTGCGAACCGCCACGTCTGGTCATCTATGGGGTTTTGTCTGGTGCCAGCATCACTGATGGCTGGAACTCCAAATGGTGGTGAAGGCCAGGGAGTAGAGTATAGTCCACCTGGGGCAAAGGGACCCAAGACCACGCTACCCACCTCTCCGTTGGCATCACAGGCCGTGTGTGTGTAGAAATAATCTTTGTCTGTGCAGGCTGGGCGCACTTTGCAGGAGGAAGATCCTTTTTCTAAATTGCCAAAGCAAGAAAAAAATATGTGAAGTGACATAAGAAAGCCCAGTTCTTGATCTCTTGCTCATGGTCCCATGACTTCTGAGCCCCTGGGGTTTGGCACCACGCAGATATGGCCAAAAGTAGAAAATCCTGCCCCCTCCCCATGCCCTGAGAACGTCATCTCATCTCCAGTTCCCAATGCCTTGCTCGGCTCCCAGGGGTGATGAGAAATCACTGGCTGGGTGGGGCATGGAGAAGGGGCCTGGCCAAGGATCCACACAGAGGGGTGGAGATGGAGACCATATCACATAGGGGAACCACCACCGGCTCAAGTTCCCAGAACCTGTCGTCTTCCTTGTGCCTCAGTATCCTGACTGTGGGTGTGATTTTTCTACTTATTTTATTTTTTGAGTTGGAGTCTCTTGTCGCCCAGACTGGAGTGCAGTGGCTACTCTCGGCCACTGCAGCCTCAACTTGCTGGGCTCCGGCGATCCTTCCACCTCAGCCTCCCAAGTAGCTGGGACTACAGGTGCATGCCACCATGCCCAGCTAATTATTTTATTTAATTTTTGAAGAGATGAGGTCTTGCTATGTGGCCCAGGCTGGTGTCAAATCCCCGGGCTCAAGGAGTCCTCCTGTTGTGGCCTCCCAAAGTACTGGGATGACAGGCGTGAGTCACTGCACCTGGCTGGTTTTTCTTTTCTTTTTTTGAGTTGGAGTCTCACTCAGTCGCCCAGACTGGAGGGCAGTGGCCGCTCCCGGCCACCGCAGCCTCGCCTGCTGGGCTCCGGCGATCCTTCCGTCTCAGCCTTCCGAGTAGCCGGAATTACAGGCATGTGCTACCACGCCTGGCTGATTTTTTGATTTATTGTAGAGATGAGGTCTCGCTGCCCAGGCGGGTCTTGAACCCGCGGGCTCAGGCCATCCACTCACCTCAGCCTCCCAAAGGCGCGGGATGACAGGCTGAGCCACTGAGCCCAGCTTGGTTTTTCTACTTCTGAAGTAAAACATAGTAAAGCTTAAGACATTGTTTTCACACTCTTATTCCAGGCTTTTCTCTGAATTTTCTCCTCACATATGCTTAGAATGAAGGTCGCTTGCCTTTGAAGTTTCCCCTTCTCCCTGCAACCATCCTACACAAGTGAGGTTGTAATTTCCTTGGACTCCACTTAAGAAATAAGGTTCTTTTTTTTTCTTTTTAAGTAAGAGTCTCACTCTGTCACCCAGGCTGAGTGCAGTGACACAGTCACAGTCACTGCAGCCTCAACCTGCTGTGCTCAGGCAATACTTCCGCCTCAGCCTTCCAAGTAGCTGTAACCACAGGTATGCACCACCATGCCCAGCTAATGTTTTGATTAATTGTAGAGACAAGGTCTCACCAAGTTGCCCAGGCAGGTCTCGAACCCCTGGGCTCAGACAGTCCTCTTGCCTCAGTCTCCCAAAGTGCTGAGATTATAGGCATGAGCCATGGTGCCTGGCCATCACTGATACTTCTAATGAATACCGTGTTGCCTGCAGATAAGCATTTACTAATGGTTAGATCTTCTCTCTATGTATACAAGGGGTGCCCAAAAAAATGTATGTACATTTTAAGAGATGTTATCTATGTATTCCTTTTTTAAGTTGAATTGAATGACGGTAGCAATGTGTAGTATGACGTTTGCTCAATCGTGCTTTCACCATTTTCTTTGGTTGTCCTGCCTGTCTCATGGTAAAGCTAGCATTCATTTGATGAATGCCATCTGTTGAGCAATCATCAAACTTAAAATATATATATACCTGGCAGGCAGTATAGTGTAGTAGAATGAGATATTAAGCTAGACAAATCAGGGTTTGAATCCTGCCTCATAATGACAGCTGTGTCACTACAGGCAAGCTACTTAATCTCTCTGCGCCTCAGTCCTCTCATTGGTAAAGCAGGAATAATAATATCCACCTTGATGCCAACATTTTGGGAGGCAGAGGCAAGAGAATTGCCTGAGCTCAGGGATTCGAGACTAGCCTGGGTAACTTGGTGAGACCTTATTTCTACATTAAAAAAAAAATTACCTGGGTGTGATGGTACGAGCCTGGGGTTCCAGTTACTTGGAAGGCTGAGGCAGACAGATCACCTGAGCCCAGCAGGTCAAGACTGCAGTGGCCATGATTGTACTGCTGCACTCTAGCCTGGGCCACAGTGAGACTCTAACTCAAAAAAAAAAAAAAATACACACACACACACACACACACACACACTCATTAAATGGTGTAAATATTACTCCCTGGACATTTGGGAATTGTTTTTAGTTGGGAACTGCCATAGGACATCTAGTGAGGATGAAAGTCCCTTCCCCTACCTCCTAAGTAAGGGTTTATTTCTCACCTACCCCTTCTTTTTCCCAAGGCACCACATGCGTTTCCAGTTCAGAGTGTCTCCTAATTACAGCCCTGCTGGCCTGCACTGGAAAGTTCCTCAAGCGCATGTCTCCACGCCTCTTCTGGTCCTGTCTTAGAAGCATGGGCCAGAGGGAACTAGGAGCTGAGAAACAGCTGGAGCCTTCTCAGTCCATTTACTTGGTTAGCAAGCAGAAGATCCACCAGCCCAGAAGGATCCAGCAACTCCTGCTTTGAGCTACCTTGAACGGGAGGGACTTGAGGGGAGACACTGAACACGTGCCAGCGCCCAGGGCCTTGCGTGTTGCGTCTGGCAGGGAATAGGTTACGTGTCGGAAAACACATTCCTCAGAAAGGCCTTTCTCCGCTTGGCCATATTTGGTCAGCCTGACACCCTAGCTCCGGGTTCTAGCAAAGGCAGTTCAGCTGTTTGCACACTGGCTGTGGTGAAGTTGGTTTTTTTTTTTTTTTTTTTTTAATATATTTCTTTTTTTTTAAATTATGATGTTGTGGGGTACAGTTAAGGGTTAGGTATACAATTACGTTTCATTCAGGCACCCTGTTGATATGAGGTGTTTCCCCGTTCCCAGACAGATATTTGCTACTGTTAATCCCATCTCCTTCCCCTACCCCCATGGTTTCCCAGTACTGTCAGTCATTTTCTTATAGTATTGCATTGGATGTTTAAGGTCCATTATATGAGTGAGAACATGTGATACTCAGATCTTTGTTTCTGTGAGAGGTCACTCAGTATTACAGACTCTAGTTCCATCCAGGTTGCTGCGAAATTCATGATTTTGTTCTTTTTATGAAGTTGGTTTTAATAAATGATTAACTAGAATGCTCAGACAGACCTCGCTTTCCCAGCTCAGGTTTCATCAAGGTGTTTAAGAAGTAGAATACTATTCAAGTGTTTAAGTTGGATACTATTCAAAGGTGGAAGATCAGACTGGCAGCTGTTTGGAAAAGTGATTTGAGTGGGGTTGACCTGCAATACTGTAAGAAAAGAATGTTTATCTCAGGGGCTCCTACCCATTTCTGCTCCTCCAGCCCCTGGTCAGTATCTTCCCAGCCTCTGGGAGCACAAAGTTCTCACTGGAGTGCATTTTATCAAAGGAGAACATTTCCCCTTGGGTGTAAGAACCTGATGAACACAAGACCCAGCTCGGGCACCAGCACAGACTCCTGGCAAGGCCCTGAACCTCTCTGAATGTGTCTTATTTATCTCAGTCACTCCTGTACTGAGCTAGGAACCATCAGTGTTTTGTCAGTTGGAAAGTTCTCTACAAGTGACTCATGATTATAACCTGTACCAAGAGTATGTTTCTATTAAAAGAGGCATGCCAGCTGGGCACGGTGGCTCACACCTGAAATCCTAGTACTCTGGGAGGCAAAGGGGAGAGGATGGCCTGAGCCCAGGGGTGCGAGACCAGCCTGGGCAATTTGGCGAGACCTCGTCTCTACAAAAAAATAAAAAAACTAGCCGCGCATGGTGGCACACACCTGTAGTTCCAGCTACTTGGAAGGCTGAGGTGGAAGGATCGCCTGAGCCCAGGAGGTTGAGGCTGTGGTGGCCGTGAGAGTGCTGCTGCACTCCAGCCTGGGCAACAGAGTGAGACTCCTACTCAAAAAATAAAATAAAAATAAAAGAGGCATGTCAGGACAGGCCTTATTATAAATGAAGTTGTAAAATGAGTGCTTACTACATGCCAGGCCTCTTTCTCAATTCTGTACCCATATTAATGGATCTCACAGTGACACCATGAGACAGATATGATTATCGTCATTCCCATTTTACAGATGAACAGGTAGAGGCACAGACCAGTCATTTGCCCAAGGTGACACAGTTACCCAGCTGTGGCACCGGGATTTTAACCCTAGTGATTAGTTCTGAAAACTTGCTCTTGAATGCCACACAATTCTATTGGGAAATGGTTCACTAACAAGAAACATAGCACAAAGAAATTAATCCTAATGATCAAATTATAGGTATCGATGAGACAAGTCCTTTTTTCTTTTTTCCACTGGGGTCTCACTCTGTTGTCCAGGTTGGAACAAAGTGGCACGATCATGGCTCACTGCAGCCTCAATCTCCTGGGCTCAGGGGATCCTTCCTCCTCAGCCTCCAGAGTAGCTGAGACTATAGGTGCACACCATCACATCTGGCTAATTTTTTGATTTTTTGTAGAGATGAGGTCTTGCTATGTTGCCCAGGCAGGTATCGAACTCCAGGGCTCAAGCAATTCTCCCAGCATGGCCTCCCACAAATGTTGGAATTACAGGCGTGAGCCTTTGCTTCTTGTGCAGACAGGTCCTTTTGGTCAAGCTTTTGTCCTTAACAGCCCTCCTGTGAGTTCTCCAGTATCCACTTGCATTGGGTCCACCTTAGATTAGGTCCTGGATACCAGCAGTGGTGTGGGCTGCAACGTCTCCTGGCTGTGGCCTCTGCCCCAGCATCCCCTCCCTCCTCCATGTGGCAATCGGAGTGGTCTTTCAAAGCACCAGCCAGATCAGTCACATCGTTCCCCAGTTTAAAATACTTTTGTTAGTCGGGTACAGCGGCTCACGCCTGTAATCCTAGCACTTTGAGCGGCCAAGGCAAGAGGACTGCCTGAGCCCAGGGACTGGAGACCAGCCTAGACAATTTGTCAAGACCTCGTCTCTACAATAAATCAAAAAATTAGCCAGGCATGGTGGCATATGCCTGTAGCCCCAGTTACTTGGGATGCTAAGGTGGAAGGATCACCTGAACACAGGAGGTTGAGACTGCGGTAAACCATGATTGTGCCACTGCACTCCAGCCTGTGTGACAGAGTGAGACTCTGACTCA